TACTGACGTAATGAACTAAAATATAATATTTTAATACTATGTTAAACGGTATAATTTTAGAAATACTATATGTTTTTTATGATACTTAAAATGGGTTGAGTAGATTTCTTTTCTAGATGATTCTTTATAATCTAAAACGAATAATTTACAACAACGTTTTGACATAACCTGTAAGATATTCTGGCTCGAACGCCATTCGCATAAACGAAGTATCATGGTAAAGCAGTTAATCTTCTCGGGGTAAAGTTAAACACATTTCAACAAGCATCAAACCAGCGCTTTTTGCGATATCGAAAACGGTGATTTGCTATTATTGTCAATGGTTTGTAACGTATTGTTGTTTGGACTGACCAATCGGTTTAGTTGTACGATGATGGTTTCGATAGCAGATATCAAATTGTTCTACTCGAGTTCATCATCGCACGTTTTAATTTTTTATCTCAAAAATCGAATTCAACAATATTTCAAGACACGTAAATATTACTTCTGTTCAGTTACGTAGCGCGTTCTTCTATATCGCGATCCGCGTTTTTAATTTGCGGTCGGTCACGAGACCCGATCGAAAAGTTTCAATCAGTCGTCAGTGCCGTGCGAACTCGAGTAAATAATGTAGCGCACTATTATTTTAAAAAAAAAAAAACACACGCAACGCGCGTGCACTGATAACGGCAACGCGGCGGTGATTAAAATCGAACTCCACGCGCGTGCCTCGTCGGTGTGCAACAACAAATCATTTCGATCGCAATTCGAACCTTTCACCAGTCGTCGCGGCATCGTTTTTACCACGGTCGGTCGGCGTACTACGAGCGGTGAATCGTGTGTATAAGTATACTCGCGTAGAAATGTGTGTACACGATAATATTTTGAGCATGCTCATCATTTTTTTCCCCTACGCTCGCGTAAAAAACGTATTTTTTTGAAATTCTGATCTATGGAAAATGTATGTGTACTATCAGGATACATTTTCCAGTGCACAGATTGTTCGTACCTATTAAGGAGTGTACTGTGGGGCGGCATCAACTTTTGTCGTTTAAATGAAAGTGCCATTTTTTATTTTTTTTTTTCGCGCAAATAATTTTTCCGTTTTCGACAAAGATTTTCAATGGATCAGAATCCGGAAAAAGGCATAATTCAATCATGAAAACGAGATACGGTCGGTTGAAAAAAATCGCCCTGTGTATGTTTGTATGTTTTCGCACGGTTGCCCGGACGAAAAATCCGTCATCGAACTATGTTTCCGTGCGGTCAGCACGCAACATAATACATCTACATTCAGGGACGTGTATAGACTTACTTTTAGAGAGGGGGAGGGGGCGGATCAAATTATTTCTTTAATCCAGGCTCAAAATGTACACGTAAAATTTTTGATAATATTAAAATCCGGTGAATCCTTAATGTTTGTGGTTTTTTTTTCGTCTAATGCCGGATCCACTTACAGTCGACTTTTGTGTAGTTTTTTTTTTAACACCTGTGTTTTGAAAGTTACGTTTGTGTTTTATATGATTTTTCAGTAAGTATGGACCCGACAAAAAGCACCATTCATTATTCATAGCCACGCGTTATTTGATTTCGTTATAAAATGATCCGCATTAAAAAAAAAATTTGAAACGTGTATCTCACATATAATCAATTCTTTAAATACGGATTTAGGGGGGGGGGGGGGTCGCCCCCTCCCCCCCCCCCCCTAAAATACGCCCGTGTCTACATGTATAACGTTTAAGATTTATTTTCCAATAAACACGGTAAAATAATGTATAAATACAACACGTTTGTATGACGTTCTGAAAGCGCGGTGCATAATTCGAACTCGAACTCTTTGCGTCGTCTCGCCACCTGGGCCGCGAACATATCCTCGCTCGTCACGCGTGTACATTGTATTCTTATCCCTCGCCCAATCGGTATCGCCTTAACATAGCAGGCAAATGTGCATTGTAACGTACTGTTTGTGCGCGAGGAGCACTTTTGAATGCCCACGGCTTGTGTACAATTAATCACAGTCGCGATTACGCGTCCCAATTGACCAGTCGACGAAAATCAATGGGAGGAAGGAAGGGGGTAGGGGGGAGGAAATTAGTAAAAATAAAACCAAACGCACGGCGCACGTACAGGTAGGTTTTACAGCCGGGTATTCATATTATTATAAACGGTAGTCGGGCAGTATGAAATCGGTGGTCAGTCGACACGAGAACGTTTTTTATAATATCCGCGCTGTCCTCTCCTTGCCCGTCTCCTGTGCGCGTCTTATACGTTCATGACGACCGTTTCGTCGTTGCCGAAATGCTTCGGTTTGGTGTCAAACGCAACGCGCGGTAGTCGTCTGTTGTTCACATAGTCGATCGAATGCGTACATCCGATTCTAATATTGGTATTAGCACAACAAAACGCTTGAAATGTTATAAAGTCGAAAACGCGTATCAGTTTCAGTCAAGCCTCCCGCCTCCACCATCTGTAACGATTCGTATTCTAATTACTCGCGGCCGAGAAGCCGAGGAAACACGGGTTAAAAAAACGTAGGAATACAGGAACTGTACCGACAATACGGATTTATTATGTCGTCATCGAGTATCAACTTTAAACCATCAATGATGAGCAAAATCCCGTCGAGCTGTCAACATTTAGTCGACCACTCGAGTACATGACATTGATTCGATCGTGTATGTTTTTATACTTTTCTACCGCATACGATTCAAATACCATTAACTCGACATTCTTTCACTGAACATCTTCTCAAAGACGAAAAACCAATTGAACTTGAATTTTTACATAGTGCTCCATTTAATACACCAGGTGTGCTTAAAGAAAAGATTTTTCAAAATTTTCATTTTTAGGTGTTAAAACCGGCTTGTGCTGGATATATATTTTTTAGTTTTTGGTTTCTTAGGAAACATTTTAGTTTGTTTAATATGGTTATTTTAACCATAACTATTACCTATTTTATTATACTATTATATCAATGTAATTAAATTAAAATAAATATCATTATAATATACGACGAGTTTCTTCAAATTTTCAGAATTTTTTTGTTTAGTATTATTAATTGGTCTGATATAAAATAATAAAACGTCTTCCGAACAATTCTGGACAATTCAGCTAATCAATTATAATTTAGTCGTATGATAACGAGTTACAATGCATCCATAGCACTCTACTCAATTACAAATGTTTTACAAATAATTCATCATCATCATTATTATAACTAATTTCAATATTATTTTGAAAAATACAATTATTGATCACGATAAAAGCTATCTGGACCATATTAAAATAGTATAACCCATTGCATAGTGCTGTGGTTCTCGTTATTTTAATGTAAGCTGTAGAAGAAACAAAAACCTGAATCGATCATGTTTTATCGATGTTTAACGTAATGTTTTAACGTATGTGTCAATCTATAAACTATAAAACTACAATGATTTGTGTTTTCTTACAATATTATGTATAAAATTTGATTTTATCACTCTGCTTGATTTGTCAAACCAATGTGTGAAACACGACTTCAGATTCCTAAGACTTTTTTTTTTACACATATTGAAAGCAGATATTGGTAAACAAAATACGCACACCCACTATTTAAAATTATTACAGTCCTTTGATCCTGTTGGTACGCGCAACTACTATAGTAGTTGTGTTCGCAAAGCTTAGGTGACCGAGTTTTCATATTACTATAATAATTATTATTATTATTATTATTATAAGACTTACAATCACAGTCCGTAAATAGATCAGTGTTAAAAAAATTATACTATTATTCACTACTATTATATAATCGTAGTTGTATAACAGTTATACAAAATAATACAAACCTAAAATAAGTATTATTAAATTGACAATCGATTCAGAAAAGATAATTTATCTAACGTGACGACTAATTATACTAAAGATAAACGTTAAATAGCGAATGCATTCATTTAGGCAGTGATTTTTGCTGCGCTCATAGAGATTAGTTTACTGTATAGTGTTATTTATTTTACAAGATCATTAATTAATACTAGTTAAAATGTGAGTTTCAGAATTCATTGGTATCTAAACGTCTACGGTTACATAATTTTATATTTTTAACCAAATAATCTATTCTATTTTTCGTATTTAATTTAAAATATATGAAATCACTTAAGTTAAAATATGAGAATTAAATGAAAAATAACTTTTATCTATTTATAACAAAAGAGGTATAATTTTTAAATACGCAATAAATATTTATATATATAAAAACTACCTATACGCCTTATTATACATAAATGTGGTGACTATAGGGATAGTGGAATACGGAATGAGGGTACAACTAATGAAGGAGTGGTTTGAGCGTTGCATCAATCATCAAACAAATATTATCTACAAATTGGTATAATAATTGAGTAATCTCTTATTGGTTCTGAATATGGATTTTTAATAGGTTTACTTCTGTAAAGTTTTAAGTTCTACTATAACTTGTTTGAGAACATCCAATAATATTTACTCTTTTTGATAACATTCTCACCAAAATTCAATATATTTTATGTGATTAGCAATCAATGATTATTTTTATGAAACTCTATTTGGATTTACTATCCTATAAAAATAGTTTTATTACATTTTTCAAAATTATTTGGGATATCAAAACTTAAACCTTATTACGGCAATAATTATAATTATGAACTATTAATGTCCAATAATTAAACTCAAATTCTTCAAAAATACTATAATATATTTGTCTGTTTTTGAAGTTTAGTTTACATAATCATATATGTGTTGTGAATTAAGCGATGCAGACTTATTAGAAGAGTGTATAATATATTCCAATATTGGAAATATTAATGTTATAACTAATGTTCTTCGACATTATATGCTTATGATAGCGTATCAAAGTCAAACATTTTTTTTTTTATTATTTATAATGTGTCGGTTTGTGAAACGCATAGCTGTATACGTACACAACTAGTGTTATATCGTTGTCGACGAGGAATAAAAAAAAAAAACCAACATTTTTAAAAATATATATAATTATAGATGTATTATGAGCAATTATAAAATGTATGTACAAAATGATCAGGTAAAAGTACAAATATTTCAAGTATAAGATTTTGGTTTTCTACAGCATAAAAATTCGAGAAATATTACACCGGATCCCGGTGTACAATTCTCGAACGCGTGTAAAAAATAATACAATGAAAATATAAAATCAATTATAAAAAAATAAAAAATAAAAATAGAATGTAAAATGTAAAAAACAAATAGAAAAAAAAAAAATCGGCGACTTAAGATCCATGCGTATCGTACAGATAATATGTCGGCGGTAAGAGATGCCGTTCGGATTGTCGTGTAAAATATAAACGTGAAAAGAGATCATTGACGAAGCGAAGAACCGTTTAATCGATATTATTGTAAGCGCGCGTGAACAGCGACACGCGTGTCGAACGGAAAACGAAAAAGAACATTACAAGGTTATACCTGGTACGTAAAGCGCTCGAAGTCTTAAAATATACCCGTTTTATCGTATACGTATAGAATATATATATATATATATGTGTGTGTGTGTGTGTGTGTGTGTGTATCATAATCATCTGAATTGGCTGTATGCGAACGCGTACGTCATGTAAACAACGTTCGATAAAAAGGGCGGTTAAAGAAAGAGATAAAAAAAGGGATATCGATTTTTGATTGGTTACGAAACTCTACGGTAAATGCGTTATGGTAATCGTGTGTACGGTAACCTAACCCGCCGGCTAGTCCGGCTGGTAACCGAGACGCGGTGCGTCCTCAACGGCGGTACGCGTGATGGTAGACCGGTGCGTGGGCGACGGTGGTCGGGTGGTGAGCGGTGCCGGACTTGTGCACGACCGCGTTGAAACCGTTGTGGTCGTCCGCGGTGTAGGTCACCTTGCGCGTAGTGCCGTCCGGTTCGACCAGGCTGTACTCGCCCTTGACGACATCCCCGTCCCTCTCTTCCCATTGGTCCTTGACGTCGCCGGTGTGGTAATCCTTGACGCCGTAGTTGAACGAATACTTGGGCGGCGACTGCAACCGAACGCGACGAATCGTTTTACCGGCAAACCGTTCATCCGCCGGCGGATCACGGCGGATCCGTCGGCGTACACGGGGCGGACATGTCAAACTGGAAGCGGGTCAAACGTGCCGAACGGCTCACGCGCGTAAAAGCTCAACGAATAAAAATCGTTATACCGTCGTACACGTTGCGTACGTATAAAACCGTCGATAAAACTTACGCGATTACAAACAGTTGGTCGGAACGTAAGACGTGTTACAACGGTATGACGATTTTTATGTGTTTAAGATAACGTCGCGACTCGACGTTCATTAACGTTTCGGGAGTTTTTTAGCCGTTCATTTTTTTTTTTATGTTGTCCACCGATATCGGTAGCCGCGCGTTTGACATGCCCGGTGCGGGGCGTGCGTTTTTCTCGCGCCGTACTCACGTAGTAGTCCACGGGTTTCGAGTAGCTCGGGTAGTCTGCCTGGTAGGAGCTGGCCGACGAGTAAGCCGGGTACGCCGCGTAGTCGTACGACGGGGCCGCCTCGTATCCCTGGTAACCGCCGTGGTGGTAAGCGCCGACGCCGCCGTGGTAAGCGGCCGCGCGGTGAGCCAGGTAACTGCCGCAGGCCACGTGCAAGACGAGAGCGGCGAGTGTGCACTGCGAAATCACACACGTGCAATTAGCAATTAGCACCGACGCGGGTAAGACGGTCTGACGGGACCGGAAACAAGGACGAGGAAAACCCGAAACCGAAAACGGCACGTGTCCCGCGCGGTTTGGGCCGCCGCGGGTGCACGCGTCTAACCGGGGCGTAGGGGGGGGGTCGTGCATCTCGATAAGGGCCGACGCCGCCGTACGGACAGGGCGTTGCCGCGCGGCGTCCTCGTGCGCGCCCGTGGCGCGTAACGCACTCGCCCGTCTTTCGGAACGCTAACGACGTGCACGCGCGACGCGGGTTTTCGCGTTCGCGCGGCCGGATCGTGCGCGCGCGGAGGATTTATCGGATCGGATGCGCGATCACGACCGCGAGGAGTGTGTACGCGTGCGTTTATTTCCTCGCGGGCACGACAACGGCGCGGCGGCCGAGCACGCACGACGAACGTGAAAAACGAACCCGTCACATAAGTCGGGTTATCTGGACCGCCGTTGCGCAACGCCCCTCCCCCCCCCCCCCCGTCCTAACTTCTCGCCCCGATAACCGTTTATTAATCGCAACACGTGGAAACGCTCGTGACCGTGCAGGGCTGCTCGTTCGCCGCGGTAGCCACGGGAACACCCGCGACGTAAGCGAATTCCGCTTTTGTATGTAATCGAAATTAAGTTTCACAATGGTTCGCTCGGGAAAATATTTATTTTTTTTCCCAGCGATTGCACCGCGATCATCGCGCTCGCTGCTGGCGGAACGTGTCGCGTACGAAAAACGTGGTCACATTTACCGCGCACGCGAGTTCTACGAGGATTGTACGCGTTAAGGTGTGCAACGTCTACAAGCGAGAAAAAAAAATCGTTCGTTTTGTCGGTATGCAAATAAAACGTTTAAAACGAGTGCAGACATTACCAGCGGTTTTGAATCAACGACTAAAACATTTAGATACTCGTTGTTTGTTTCCGAGAACAAAAAAAATTTTAGATAAGAAATTTAATTACTTGTTAAAAAAAAAACTTTACGTTATGCACGGCCGTTAAAATAATCAAATTATGTGAAGTACACGTTTATTCAAAATGCTGAACTGTTCTAAATAATTATATCCCGTGCACGAGCAGGAATACTATGTATGATGTAATAATATAATCAATGAACTACTCTGGAAAACGTGCGTTAAAGTCTCCCAAGACCTATTCGATTATGCTAACGAAATCGTTTACCTTTTGAATTGGAACCTAACGTTGTTTCTATAAAAATACTCGTAAACCCGACTGTTTGCGACGGTAAAATTATGTTAAATGTTGCCGGACTTGGAATACCTTTGATACGTGTAAAAATATCCAAACGACGAAATCAACTTTAACACTGAGATACATATTTATTGAAACAGAGCAAAAAAATAGTTATTATTCAAACATGCATACACGGGCGTTGATATTTTTAGTGATTTATTGAATAATTTCAAACTAAACTTTTACTAAGTGAAGTAACGAATGAGAAATTATTGATATGTGGATCAAAAATTTTAATACTATACGCCGAGAACCATGGTTTAATGTGAATATTATCATCTTAGAATATAATATTATATACTGACCTGTATGAACGCCATTTTTACTTGAACGGTAACGTGAAAAAGCACTAGTACAACTTAAAACACAACGCTGAGAACTAGCTGCGACTGTTCTGGAACTCGGTTGGATTCAGTGTGATCTGTACAGCGGACGGGCCGGTGCATTTATACTAAAAGGGCGGCATCGGCTGTCCCCACGCTTGCCAGTCACTCATTGGTCAATTGTCCATCCGCGTGCGTCCGCGGTCGTTTCAGCCCGATGTTATTATTATTATTTTTTAACCACCGACCGTCATTACAATTGCTCATAGTAATCGTTTTTGTTTTGTTATTTTTATTATTATATTATTATTTCGTATGCATTATTGTCGGTGAAGTAGAAGTAAAACTCCGATTTTCTTAAACCTTGGACTAAATACTTATGACCAGTGTCAGTCAAATATCGTGTGTTCATTACATACTATGCATGTATTCACATCGGTTAGGATGCGTGTCATCTAACTAGTGTTTATAATTTGTTAAACAATGAGTGATTTGTCAACGTAATAGTTATTCGTTAGCAAATTTCGAATAAATGGAAATTCCAAAATTGGGTGATTTTCATTTTTAAAGAGTAACCACCACCGTAAAAATACCTATATAGTTGGTAATAAAAAAATTTGAACGAGAAAAATCTTGTAAGTCTAATTATCTACATTTTTAATGTTCGATATATCATTAGTTTTTAGAAATTAATCTAAATAATACTTGATTGAAGTGAAACAATAGTTCTGCAACATTCCATTAATAATCCAAAATATTTCTCATTAAGTATAGATTTTTGTTTATTATAATCACTCAAATTTTATTGTATAATATTGTTCATGATATAAATATTTAAATAGCTTCTAAGCATTCTTAATGTTATAACAGCACATAGAGTATTTCCATCAATGATCAGTCACTGCGAAAATAATTAAGTATCAAACTGTATTGTATTTTCTTGCATATGTTATGATTTATAAATTTATTCACTTAAAATAAAAAATAAAATTATATTAATAATATTCATATTTTCTTTTATAATTAAAAATAAATTTAATTCATAACTATAATATGATTTTTAACAATAATTTATCTAACTGCATTTTTTTTTTTTTTTTATACCAATGTTTTGACTTAACTGTTCATTATATGTCTTTTCATAAACTTGAATTTTTCGATTAATACTGAAAAATATGTATATTGTTTACATCATAATTATTATAATAAGTAAAAAATATTATAATTACGCATATTGTATATCGAATAACGTTACAGATTCATATGCATATCTAATCAATTAGATCATTACGTAAATCATTACGTCACACAAATATATTTGAATGAAATACTGTTGTTTAATTAAGATTTTATCAATAATGAACCTATTTTATAGATATTGAAATAATTATATTTATATATTTAATTATTTTTTAGGTCTTTGTTGTTTTGAGAAGTTTTTAAAGATTTTTAAATCACAGATATAGTTCTATAACATAATATAAATATCTTATTTTAATAACTATTGTAATTTTAAAAAATGTTGGTTTTATCATTAAAAAGTAAACATTTTTACGATCAATTTTTATGAATTAAATTTTTATTAAAACATTAAATCGTAATTTAATTACATATTTGAATTTAGGCTTTAATATTATAATATGTGCTTTTTCGAATCTATATTTTACGTTTTAATTTCATATCAGTAATCTATTTGTTATGGATAAATATTGTTCGCTTTATTATCTATTATAGAACAATAACATACAATCCATAATACATAGACATAGATGCGTGTTCCTATTAATGCTTTAGTGTCAATGATGAACTCTTCAAAAATGGATAAAGGCTATCCAACACGGCCTCGATCCGATGTCAATAACCAATTTTCCTAATTGTGTTCTTAAAGAAAAATCGTCTTTGAGTTCATATATAATACATCAAGGTATTAAATGTATTGTGTTTACGTTTATAAAAAAAGAAATAGAAATTGGTCATCGGCTATAACAAATTGAAGGGCATTATTCGATCTCTTTATATGAAGGTCTGTATTTCATACATATGGTACATCATAACATAATTCCTGTTTTTAGTGGATTTTTATTTTTAACCTAAATGGTAATAAATAAAATAGTTAAGTATACTTGTAATACATATTTACAAGTAATGGGACTATAAGATATGTTATAATTTTGTATTTCTCTTCAACGATGATCGATGATGAACAAAGTGTTTGATTAATTAGTTAATTATACCGCTTACCGCATAAACATTTTAATTACATCCATTCATTATCTTAAAATAAAACATCAACCGAAATCAATGATTAAAATTTTTAAAATATTCGTATAACTTATAAACGCATAAGTAAACAATTTTCTTAGATTTATTTTTTATACCAAACATAGGTTATTGCAGAGTGTCAATAATTTATTTTAATCAACATAGTTGAAATTATCTGTATTATATTAATTTTTATAATATCTGTAACTGTTTATTGTAACTGTACAGTTACATCTTTGAAAGTAACGTTAATTTCTTTATTCTTCAGTGTAAAATTAATTACTTACAGAAATTGTTGTTCAGTAAATAATATTTACATACATTTTATGTAATTGAATAAATTATTATCAAACAAATATTCGTTAATAATATGAAACATTTTATTTCAAATAATTTTATAATTTCAATTTTAAAAAAACAACAGAAACAATTACTTTCTAGAAATGTTCAGATGTATATATTTTATTTTATAATAGACAAAATGTGTAAATACACTAAATTTTGAGGGATACGAATGATAGTCTACATTTGAAAATTATATATTTAAACAGCAGCACCAATCAACAAACATAATTTATCATTTCACCATTTGAAAATATTACAAAAAATGTACACTATTTGGCCACCACATGCATCAACAGTTAGTATTTAGTAAACATATTAGTATTTTTGATGCTTTAATTGTTCTGTAAATTGATTTTTCAATAACATTATAACATACATTTCGAGATTTACTGTTACCACAAATCCTAAATGAAAAGTAGGTATCAATAAAGAATAACATGCTTTTATTGTTAATGAAACATATTTAATAGTGGTAATTTTAATTTAAGATTAATTTCATGGTATATTATTTAATCAGGACCCATTTTCATATGAGTGTATTATTATGTCTTTATTATTCTTTAACGTATAAAATATAAAAAAATATATATTTTTAATCTATTTTAACTAGGAAAATAAAAGTTAACGAACTATACAAATCCAATTTCGGATAACTGTAATTCGTATAAATTATTAATTAAAACACATACAAGCCAGACGTTAAATTGGTATACGCATATTATGATGACCAACTTTTAAAAAATCCACATAAATACACAAATAATACATATATAATAATACATAAATACACACAGTTTTCCCTGAAATTAAATGGATTAAGTAGAATCGCCGTAAATTGTTAGAATGCTGTATTACATTATTATCATGATTTTTACTCTAAGTAATATACATTCACTCATAAAAAGTAATAAGTTATGACCGCGTTTTATACTACCATGGGAGTATTATTACAATATTATGAAATAATTTCACTGGGTGCACACAGCAATACAGCAGATTTATGTATGAGTATAATATAAAATCGCCTCACTAGTTAATTAAGGAATTTTTCAAAAACTATTTATAAGTGCACCTATTACCCGTTTAGCAATACACTTGGTTTTTTTTAAATTAAGCAATTTTATTAAAATATTTGTTCTTATTCCAGGCTAAAAATGGGTTTTAATGTACTGTCAAAACATACGTACAAGTTAGGACTGAACAATAACTCTTCATGTTCCCTCGCCAATTATGGTGGTAAATTTAACGATTTTTAACACTCACTATCCAAAATTTCAGCCCTCTCATACAATAAACAACATTTAAAATAATTAATTCCTCTTCATATAAAATTCTCTCATTTCTGATTCTCTATCCTCCAAATATTCCAATCTGTTTAGAATAATCGGCATATGCATTAGTTAACGTTAATTATTATTAATACTACATATGTAAGCGAAGGAATGTACCCATTATTTTACGAACTAACCATACAGTGGGTTGATATTCTGTGGGAATATGCTGAGTGAGCCTTTTTGGTCACGTAGCCTTTCGGACACCACTGGTAAGTTAGTTCTTCAGTAACCACATACTGTAGTAAAACCTCATTCTTATTGTAATAAAGTCGTAGGAAATCAATAAAAGCATCATAACCATTTAAAATGTAGTTTTTCTTTGTGTTAATAAAACCGTTCGAAACGAAATATCGACCTGAGTGCTGGATTAAAATCCGCACTCAACAACTCTTATTAAATAAACTTAATTTCCCAATCCGGCTTCAAAATATAAGGACTATGGGCTTTATAATTATAATAGACAATATATATGTACATTTTGTACTTAATAATAACAGTAGTAAGTACACGTAAGAATAATTGTTGAAATCTAATAATTTAATGTTGAAAATTCAATAAAAAAAAAAAATTAGATAAAATTAAAAATGTTATGTACAGAACAAAACAAAATGTGGCGTTGAATATAAAAATATTTGTTATGAACAAGTAACGATTAGAACCTTTTTATTTTTAAAATTGACAGACATGTTCTCGTAGAAAGAAAAAAAAATAGAAAAAAATAATTTTTTAAGCGCCGTGTTATTTGTAAATGATTTTTAACTCGATACGGTTGGTTTTTCAGAACAAAAAACGATTGTTGTTCTGTATTTTTTGACGAAGAACTACTATACTCAGATAACAATGGAATCAGTGCAGTCGTCGTTCGTCAAACCGCATCACCTCGCTGACGTTTAGGTGTTTTTATTAAAATCGTTGTCGTTTAACCCGTGCTATTGCGGTTTTTTTTTTTTTCTACAGAAATTTGTATTTCTTTTTATACGCGCACCCAACGCGTTCAAATAAATACAAATATAATATATATATGGTATATACATAATATAATAAGACGTTTTTCGGTGTTCTTAACTCGTATCCATGCCCTAACCCTTTGGAATCACTGACGGCGAAGGAATTCTCTTGCGGCGCGCGCTATCGATTCGCTGCCGAACAACAAAGAGGATTTCGTG